TACACAAATACTCACAATTATGAGATTTATTAGGGAATATAAGGAGTCCGGATAATGTAGTGCGCCATATATTGGTCTACTAAACCTGAGTTTAATAGTTTGAAACCAGCAGCCACTCCATGGGAGAAAAATGAAGTTTTCTACTCTCAGAGTTACAGCCTCCAAAACTCACAGGCAGTACTGCCCTGCCCTACAGCGGCACTCACTATGAATCAGAATCAACTGGATGGCAGTGAGTTTGGTTTTAGAGGAGTTAAAAGGTTAAAATTCAGGATCAGCAATGCTCAGGATACAGTTCTTCCAGTAGAGCTACTTTCTAGGCCATGTGGCCCCTTGACTTGTACCTTGCTTGGCAAATGTTACAAAGCTCTTTTATCACTGTTCATAAATGCCCACAGGTGTGCCACTCTGCCATAAGCCTCAACCTGAAGGTGCTCAGCCATTGTTCTGTGGGTCAGCAAGCCTAGTTTCCTCAATTATATTCCTGAGGAAATCCCACTCCATAGCTTCTTACACTTTGTGAGCCAAGAGTCCACCTCTTTCATTCTCTGCCTCCTGGTTTTGCTGCTGCCATAGCTGGTTCTCTGGTGTCATAGCTTTCTGTCCCTTGGTTGGGGAGGTTCAGTTCACAGGGATCTTGGGGTGCAAAAGATGTGCTCCCCTCCAGGCTCTTCTTTCTTGATGTTATCCCCACTTCCTACATCTGTGACGGCTTTTTTATACTCAGCTGGAGAGCAAAATTGACCAATCCTTATAATTCCAAATTTTTAGTCACAGTTAACCCTGTCAATAATCTCCATAACTAAATCATAATCCTATCAACTTTGTCCTCTTACTCTTACCCAGACCGATCATCAAAAAACAAAAAAGATCCAATCTGCCTGGTCTCACCCAGTTGTTTGGTGGGAATTACAAAGACTATGCTTAGATGAGCCTTATTAAATAATGCACTTCACTGCCAGGTCATATTATCAGGGTTAGTTATCATTTTAATGATTATTTTTACAAGGAAGTTAACTTTTCAAGTAGTATCATTTTTTATTTTAACATTTTAGTAACTAAAATTGTGCTTTATATTAAAGTTTACACATTCAAATTTTATTTCAAAATTTTATTTTATTTTATTTTATTTTCTTGGGCATTGCCAACATAATAGCTCTTGGGATGTTGTAGTGGACAATGAAGGAGTGTTCTTGTTGGATGGGGGGGCAGGGGGTGGTGGTATTATTATTGGTTTTGGTATGTGTTTTTTTAATCATTTTACTGGGGACTCTTAAAGCTCTTATAACATTCCATATATCAATTGTATCAATCATTTTTTTAGTTATTTTTTTAATCATTTTATTGGGGGCTCATACAACTCGTATCACAATCCATATATACATCAAGTGTATAAAGCACATTTGTACATTCATTACCCTCATCATTCTCAAAATATTTGCTCGCCACATAAGCCCTTGGCATCAGATGCTCATTTTCCCCCCTCCCTCCCCGCTCCTCCCATATCAAGCACATTTGTACATAGGTTGCCATCATCATTTCCAAAACATTTTCTACTTGAGCCCTTAGTCTAAGCTTCTCATTTTTCCTCTCCCCCACCCTTATGAATCCTTCATCAATTACATGTTTTTATTGTTTCATACCTCACACTGTCTGTTGTCTCCCTTCACCCACATTTTGGGGTGGGGGTGAAGCTATATATCCAACCTTGTGATGGGTTTCCCCTTTCCCCCCCTTCACTAATTTGAAAAAATAAAACTGCTTGTAATATTTAATTTCAGTATTATGTTCTCTTTCAGATTGGCTTTCCTCCCTTGCTGAGTATTGTTAGCAGAATGAATCAGGTAAAATCTTGTGGAATATTAATAATAGATGTTGTTTTATTTGTAACGTACGTGTATTCTGAGTGAAAGTACTGAATGCGCATAGTATGAAAACACCTACACTAAGCCTGCTAGGGTCCTCTTAATGCTCTCTACAACTCTGTATGGGAAGCTGTGCTGTTGTTCATTTTTATAGATGAGGAAACAAAATTAGTGGTTAAGTAGCTTAACAGGTGGTTTTTCAGCAACTTATTGGTAGCACTGAGTTTCAAGTATATGTTCACCAAGTCCAAAGATGATGATTTTTATCACAGTGCTAAATTATTCAGGTTTATTCATTTTAATGATAAGCTTTAGATCCTGGAGTTTGAATTAGATATTAAGGTTAGACAGTGGATGGATGTCTGGATTGTGATGAAAGTTGTACGAGCCCCCAATCAACTGATTAAAAATATATGTATATATTAAGGTTAGATTGCCATTTTCAGTTTTAAATGCCCTACACAATCCATGCAGGGAGCGCTGGCAGCATAGTGTGTTGCGTGATGGGCTACTTATCAGGAGTTCAGCAGTGTAGTGGTTACACTTTGGGCTACAATCCTCATGGTCGGCAGTTTGAAGCCACCAGCATCTCCGCAGGAGAAAGACAGGGCTTTCTACTCCCGTAAACAGTTAAAGTCTCAGGACCCCACAGGGGTCAGCATTGACCCAATGGCAGTGAGTTTAGTTTTCAGAGCTACTCGAGGGAAGAAAGATGAGGCTTTCTACTCTCATGAAGAGTTAAAATCTCAAGGTGTCGGTGGGATCAGGTAACAGGCATCAGAAGACCCCAAACAAACAAAAAACATTGTTGAGAAAGAGGGAGGTTGGAGCAGAGACCCAAAACCCATCTGTAGGCAATAGGACATCCCCTTACAGAAGGATCACAAGCAAGGGATGAGTCCACCAGGGAACAGTATAGCACTGATGAAACATACAACTTTCCTCTGGTTCTTTAAGGCTTCCTCACCCACCCACCCACCCCCACTATCATGACCCCACTCCTGCCTTTCATCTCTGGCTAGACCCGAGCATATGCTGGTACATATAAGAACTCATGACACACTGAATCCAGGTCAGATAAACCCCTCAGGAACAGAAGTGGGAGTAGTGATACCAGGAGGGGTAGGAGGAAGGTGGGGGAAGGAAGCGGGGACCAATCACAATGATCAACACATAACCAGGGGGACGGACAACAGAAACTTGGGTGAAGAGAGACAGTGGTTATCAAGGAGTCACGAGGGTGGGAGGGAGGGCAAAAAGAAGAGCTGATACCAGGAGCTCAAATAGAAAGTAAATGTTTAGGAAATGATGATGGCAACATGTACAAATATGCTTGATACAACTGATGTATGGATTGTTTTAAGAGCCCCCAATAAATGATCTTTAAAAAAGAAAAAGAGAGAATCTCCAAAACCCACAGGAGTTTTTCTACCTCGACCTGTAAGGTCAATATGAGTCGGATTCACACTTGATGACAGTGTTTTATGCAAGCTATTAAGAACGAAATACATGATTTCTCAGTCACATTTGAACTTTGATTCTCTGTCTTGAAGGAGTGGGGATTCTTCATTATACATTTTCAGAAAGGAAAACAAAAATTTTCCCTTTACATAGCTAGGTATTCCTAGAAGAGATTTCGGTGTCTTTTTTAAAAAGGTGCCTTACTGGTGGCTACTATGGAGTCAGCCTCTAAACTATAGTGACTCTATCCACTTAGAACTACAAACTGGCTTGTCCTATGCCACCCCTGTGAACAGTTGGGGATTGGACCACTGAAGTCCGTAGGTTTTTATTGGCTGATTTCAGGAAATCTCCAGGCCATTCTTGTCCATTTTATCCTAGAAGCCCTGCTGAAACCTGTTAGGCATCATAGCCACCCAGAAGCCACATATTGACAAATATGTGGAGTTGTCTGGAATCGAATCATAGGCTCCTGTTCTGGAAGCAAGTATTCTACCACTGAGCAACCAGTGCCCCTTTAAAACATACTGTGTTGAAAGTTATATTGGTTGTCAGTTTCACTTACTTCGTCATATGCATTAAGATGTAATCGCTATGTGAACCTCAGGATTGATGAACCAATACAGACAGAAAGTAGAATAAGGGTTTGGGGTGGGAGGGTGGGGGCAGTGTAAAGGGAGATGATGTCAGGGAGTCCAGGAAGAAAAAGAATGTTTGCAAACTGATTGTGGTAGCAATTGTACATTTCTGCTTGATGTGATTGAACTACGGAATGATATGATAGATGTATAAACTCCCAACTAATAGTAAATTACCCAAAATAGCCAATCCTTGGGAGAAAAAAGATGTAATAGCAGCCATATTAAACTCTTTTATCAGTGTGCTTTTTATAAATACCCAACTTTATTTGAATAAGATTCCTTGGGTGGCACAAATGGTTAAGTACTTGACTGCTAACCAAAAAGTTAGCACTTCCAACCCACACAGAGTTCTGGAGAATGGTACCCCATAAGGTCACAGCCTCAAAGAACATCGCGGTTCAGTTCTGCGCGCACATGTGCGCTCACCTTCAGTCCACACTCACTGACAGCAGCTGCTTCGTCTTTTGTATTTGAGTAAACCAGAAAATATTTTTAACACGTTTGGTAAATTTTATCTCTGCAGTTTCAAAGCACATCTACCTAAAGCTAAGTTTATCTTTAGATTTACACTTTAATTTGGAAATATTTATGCAAAGACATTTTCTTAAAAGCCCATAGACTTTTTCAAGTAGCTATTTATTTACTCTTGTAAATTAAACTCTTATTTAAACTAAGATGTTTGTTGATTGTTGAAGCATATAGAACTATTTATCTAAAAATCCCTTCTCATTAGATCATCCATCAAAACACTAATTAGAGCCACAGTTTTCTCTCAGTGTCTGAAGTAGGAAGGCTTGGGCGGGTCTTGTAAATATTAGATTGCATTCTAACTAAACTTAATGAAGCTCATGTTGAACTTGTTAATGTTTTATAACTAAAACAGTTCTCCTTTTCCCCCATTTTAGGCAACTGTTACTAGTGTCTTAGAATACCTGAGTAATTGGTTTGGAGAAAGAAACTTTACTCCAGAATTGGTAGTATTTATTCTTTTTTTACTTTCATAATGCAGGCAAAATTATCTGTACATTCCAAGATAGCTTTGCTATGTGCATATACAACTGTGTGTGTTCATAATTATGCTTGTTTGCACAGACACTCCTTCGTTGATCGTTTCGAATAAAAATTGTCAGTTGAACTAGCGTTGACTTATACTGATACGTAACTCATCTTTGACAAGTAGGTTACAGATTAGCAACCAGTCTGCAAGTCCCAGTTTGAGTAGGATTTTCTTGTTTGGTTTTTCCTTTTTGAGTAGGATTTTTTTTTTCCGAGTATCCATCTTTGTTTTTTGTGTTGTTGTTTTTTTTGTTTTTATTAAACATTTTATTAGGGGCTCATACAACTGTTATCCCAATCCATACACACATCAATTGTGTAAAGCGCAGTTGTACATCATTCTCAAAACATTTTCT